ACCTCAGCACTTCAATATACCGACAGTCAACTAGGCACCGCTGAAGAGACTGTAGCACCGCCCAAATTTCGACGGAATCAAAGGCTTTCTCATAGTCCACATACGCCAGGCAAAGTGGCAGATTGTACTCTTCGGACTTCTGTACAATTTGCCGAAGGGTATGTATGTGGTCTATGGTACTGAAGCCTTTTCAGAAACCGGCTTGTTCGGGAGGCTGGAAGTCGTCGAGTCTGCGTGCGAGACGATTCGTAATGACTCTCGAAAACAGCACGTAGACGCGGCTCGGAAGGGAAATCGGTCTGTAGTTCTTCAAGAGAGCGTTGTCGCCTTTCTTAAAGAACAAGACCACCGCGCTTCTGCTCCACGCCTCCGGAGTAGTGCCACCATGGAGGACGGAATTGAAGAGCTTCTGAAGGACTTCAAGTACCGGTGTTCCACCCGCTTTCAGAAGCTCCGCTGTAATTCCATCCTCGCCCGGGGCCTTGCCGCTTTTAAGGTGGTGGAGAGCCATTCTAATCTCGCTCAGACTGACGTCCGGGATATCATCGGAATAGTGTCGGATAAGACCTGCTCTTGGATCGTTACTCACACTTGCGTGTGGCTCCAACGATGGTGTGTACAGCTGCCCATAGAACCTCTCAATCTCACTCAGAATCTTCAGGTGTCCCGGAAACGACGTTGCCACACTCAGTCTTCAGCCTTGACAGTTGGCTCTTTCTGGCAGACAGATCTCTGGCAAAGACTTTGGAGCCCTGGTTCCGCTCGATCGCTTCTTTAATACGAGCAGTATTAAAGTTGCGTAAGTCTCGCCGCATGCATTTGGAGATCTGTCTGTTCAGTTGCCTGTATGCTGTCAAATCTGTTGACGATTGCAGCCTCATCTCCCGTCTAACAGCCATGAGATTAAGAGTGTGATCGGAGAGTTTTTGTGTTCTTCTGCGGAGGGTCTTGCAGAACTTAGCTCCGACCGCATGGACAGTTTCCACGAGCTTGTCATTCATATCGTCTACTGCATTGCAATCCTCTAGGCACTGAAAGCGGTTTTGTAACTCGAGCTGAAAGGTTTCGGGATTCTGGATTAGAGCACGAGGGGGACGGAGCGTTGACTTCATTAGACGAGACCTCTCCAACTTAACATTTAGGTTCAGTGTGTCTCTAACCATTCGGTGATCGCTGCCAGTTTTCACCCTTGCGATCACTGAGACATCACTGAACAGTTGGCGTCTGGTCGTCATAATGAAGTCAATCTCATTTTTTGTCGAACCGTCGGGGCTCGACCAGGTCCACTTTCTGTGGGGCCGCTTCTGGAAGAAAGAGTTCATCATAAAGAGTCCCTCTTTCTCCATAAAGTCGGCCAGCTGCTGGCCCCTTCGGTTCCGTTGCCCTACTCCAAATTTCCCCACCCTCAGCTCACCGCATTCTCTTGTGCCTAGTTTTGCGTCGAAGTCTCCCATCAACACCGTGTAGTGGGCTTTGGAGGAATTCAGCATGGCTCTGGAAATATCCTCATACATTTCCTCCATCTCCTCACCGGGATGTGCCGAGTTTGGTGCGTAAACCTGTATGACCTTCAGCGAATACCGTTTGGTGATTCTGAGTATCAGGTACGCGACCCTCGTCGACACACTCCCAATCTTTACAACGTTGTTGACGAGAGACTTGTGGACGATAAATCCGACACCTCCTTGGGACAGATGGTCGCCCTCCCGGTGGTAGAACAAGTTGCCGGACTCGAGGATTGCCGTATCCTCCCCCCTCTCTTCGGACCTCGGATAATCCAATAATATGCCAGCGCAACTTGTCTACCTCTTCTTCCAGCTCCAGTATCTTCTCGTCAGTCCTCAGGGTGCGTGCGTTATATGTTGCCAGGTCGAGTCGTCGTAGGTGGCAACCGAACCTCCACCGGAGGTTCTTAGCACCCCCTGCCCCGCCGTTACCATGGTCGCCACCGTAGCCAGGAATGGGGGCCGGACGGGGGCTTTTTTTCGTTTTTCGGGGGGTTTGTGCCACGCTTGGCGAGCGGGTTGGCAACCGCAGTTTTTTATTATATCACAGTTGTTATCAGGAAGATGCTGCTGCCCATCTCCTGCCTGTCTCCCTCTGTCGCCTCTTACGACACCCACGGGAAGATATGGGGTAGTGGATATTCTCAACCGCCACTACACGGCATAACCAATTTAAGTACACTTAATTTTTAGGTTTCCACATGCATTTGGCATTGGACTTTATTGAGTCCACCAATTTTTAAAACCCTTCGAACGTTTGGAACCTTTAGAAGTATTCAGAAAATATTTTAAAATTAAAACAATTTACTTCAAAGTCCGGTCTAAGTACTAACTCAGCTTTTATTAAATCAAAGACGGCAGTGATGTGAAGAGAAGCTGTTTATCTGGAGATTTTGAGTTTTGTCGGGAGTCTGGAGATCATTTAAAATGTCGGGAGAACCCAGATAAATCCCGACCATTTGGCAACCCTCATTCGATTGCATTTAATTTTAACTGTAAATAATATACATACAACTGTAAATAATAGGCATTCTTCAAGAAATACCATAAAAGACGGTCATAAGCTACCTGCATCAAACGACTTTCTACTTCACTGTCGTCACACCATCTTGTAGGCTGCCGCCCGACTTCACTTACCGGTATGAGCGTGCCATTTCTTTTTTGTTTTCATAGAGACCTTTCTCCCCCATCGGTTTTCGGTTCTTCGAGCTATAACCGGCTCATTGCCGCTTCTAGTGTAAAATAGAATAGAATCCATTGTTATATACTACACTAGATTAGTAATTACCGCGCCAAAGCGTTACCACTGCACATATGGCCACAGCCATATTCCTAGCTAACGTCAGTTATGTGTTCAATGTGACGCCGACAGAGTTGAGCCGCGACCAAAAATGGGTAAATGCGTAGTGAAAGAATGCGATTCAAGGTCACAAAACAATAAATCAAGCGGAATCACACAATACACACGTAAAAAAACCTCAAATATTTAAATCAAATTATCGAATATTGCGATTTGGGTTAAATGTTGCCACTTTTCCGCCTTTGTGATTATCCCACATTAACGGGACACTATAAAATTAATGGAGTAAGTTAATTTACTATTTATTATTGTTAATTTATTTATTATTTTGGAAATTATAATAAAAACTACGTTTTAACTTTCATACAAAATAATTAATTATTCTTATTTTAGTTTATTTATGAATGATCTATTTAATATATTTTATTACCTATTTTATATTAATAATTTTATATTGATTATAATTTTATTTTTATATAAATTTTATATTTTATATTAATTATATTTTAATGCCTATTTTATATTATTTGATTTATGAGTACAATAAAATACTTATAATAATAAATATTTTTTTATTTCATCAGTTATGCTAACTTCTTTTCACCTGATAAGAAAATATACTTTTTTTTAAATAAAAACAATTAACTGCAGCTTAAAAAAAACTCCTTTTTATTGCGTATTTTGGGTTAAATTTAAGCCACACCAACCCGACATCGCATGTTTGGTGTGTCTATCTTTATCTAATCTTAGCGACGGTATTGTTTTCGCAACTTGTGTAAGTGAGACAGATACACGTTTATTTAAAATTTTAAGTAATTTCAAAGCTACGTTTACAGCTTTTGAAACATCAACGTTAGATTTCTGTTTTTCGACGCGCGGTAATATGGTTTGCTGCTCCAGTTGTGCATAACTCAATGATAGAATCATATTTATTTAATATTAATTACAAGATAAACTTATTGAAAGTCGTTTAAGCTCTACCACTGGTCAGGAAAAATCCTGGGAAAAACCAGTAAGAAACCCAGCGCGACTTTTTTTTTAATATAAGTTTAAAAAATGATCTCTAGCACTGCGAAGAGATGTTGCATTTCTTTGCGTATTTTATCCTTTTTACCACGGGGAGTGTTCTGAGGAATTGTTCGGACTAATTCCAGCCGCTATTTCCCCACCGCACATCGCGATAAAACTCGCGATATCATGCATTCCATCTGGATGACTGGCGGTCCATCACTTGCAATTTAAAAGAAGTTTTCTTCCTCGCTCGCAAAATAAAATAATGCTTACTTTATGAGGAGATGCACGTTATCAATAATAATTTCGCATTTATGTGGTTCAGTTGTAGGTAGATCCTTCAAGTATTTTCTCTTAAAAAAAATGGAATTGGCTAGTATGGAATCAAGATAATGTAGAAATTTAATAGACTTTTTATTACTTGATATATCTTTTTAATAACAAGTAGAAAGCTCCTAAAAATCTTGCACTAGCGCGGCATTTTGCTCAAACATGCACCATAATAGATATTTGTAACTTTTTGATTAGGTCCCGTACATTTTCTGGGACTTTGTTGTAAAAGCGTATACATCCCCCCATGAAGGCATTACTTACTGTTTGGAGTCTATTAACAGGTATAACTAACTTGTGCTTGTTGCTGGTATTTACAGAATGTACATCACTATTTTTGATTAAAAAAATGATACATGGTAGAGCCATGCTGCAGTTATATTAGTATCTATAGTATAGTTGTAGCACGAATGGGTCGGCTCGACCGGGGAAGGACCACGCTCTCACAGAATGCCAGCGTGAAATAGTAGCTTAACGCTGCTGTGTTTGTATGGTCAGTGTAGAGAACCGGAGACCCTTTTCCTTTTTACTGGTAACGAGGCATTTTATCTTAGTCCTCACGGGTGACAACGCATCTGCATTTTGATTCGTAATCGAAGATAGATGTAGATGTCTATGGACCGAAGCAACCACTTACCATCAGGTGGACTATGTGCTCGTTTGTCACCCTATCCTATGAAAAAACTTTTTTGTTTTTACGTATATATTGTTTTAATTTTAAATATGTATTTTATGCACACATTAAATTTTCGTAAATGTACTGAGAGGCCATAAATATTTATTTCATTAAATTTTTCTCTTCTTTAGCTTACTCATCCGTATATCTACTAAACTCTTTGCATTCCAGAGTGGTGATGAAGTCCAAGCGGGCAGTGTGCTCCTGCCAGCAACGCGGCGTGGCAGATACCTGGCAAATATCGTTCGGAGGCAGGCAGTTGTACGTAATCTTGGAAAACTTTTAATAATATTAATTAAACTTGCTATTAATAATATATTTGGAAACGCTATTGGTCATGGGGGCCTGGGTTCGGATCCCGGGTCGGGTCAAAATTGGGTTTTGCTAGGTATTCTCACTACCTAGCAGTCTGGAGTGAAGAAGTTGGCGGTTGTATCACCCCTGTGCTTTGGAGAACACGTAATAAGCACTAAAAACCAAAAGAAGTTTCTTTTTAAAAACATTATAAGTATATAAAAGTGTTTTACTTAAATACTTTATCCACAGGACGGAACCGGTATAAAATTCAACAAGGATGCTGACAGGGTAAGTTTAACTTTATATCTTGGGGGTTAAAGTATGAAATTGATGTTCTATATTAAAATATTCCAATGTAGTGTAGAATACACCGTGCACTGGCGGTGTAGGAATATTACCCTACCCTACTCTATATCTTTAGGTGGATGTCAAAAGTGGTGTCAAAAAACGTATAAATCTTCCAGATCAATGCAGAGTCGAAAAAGAAGGTGGACGTGCTCTCTGAGGAACTGCTTCCGTACATCATCGCGGAGCAGGAGAGACGTACGACGCTGTACAAACGCATCATGACGGCTATACAGAACGGTGAGAAGGGCGTCACGATCGCCGAGCTCAGGAACAAGCCCCCCCTTATTATTAGGAAAGGTAGGTAATCAAATCAGTTTTATTAATTTAAAAAGTTTATATTAATGTCTGCCAGACCGTAATTCGGTCACAGCGCATAGCCTCAAAGGAGTTCGCTATTCCGTGCAAACGTTGTCCTTCCATGAGCTCTCGCCTTTCATCTAGCGGACTAGTTCGTACTGCAGCCGTAATAATGTTTGACAGTAAACTCAATAACTAATTTTCGGCCCAACACTGGATTCGAACATAGGACAACATAATTAGCGATCATGTTTATGATTACTTGATCAATTGTTCACGTTATTATTACTTATTTATATTAGATACTAATATTAACTCATCCAAAATAGGAGTGATGAAAAAAAATTTAAAACAGGCTTTAACAAAATGCGCAAAAGTGACAAAAAAATCTAGATCCTAAAAGTATTTTAATTTATTTTCTCCAATAATTTAGTAAAAAAATATTCCTACTCTTTCGAATTTTAACTAGCAGCAAAAATACATTTATAGGCAAATCGGGTTGGGTATAGACGTCCCGTCCTTGATTTTAATAATATTTTCTGTTTAGGAGGCTTGTTAGGGTTAAGTTTGAATCTATTACACTCTTCTTAGATGTCAGAAATGCGTTTTGAATTAATTACGCTACAAATAAACTTCACTAAAATTGCTTAAAACGAAACGAGAATATGCCAATTGTCTCTCTCTAACTCCAATTGTCTCAGTCGCCCCTCACGATACCCACGGTATGATTATGGGGTGGTTTTCACCCGAATGCAGAGGGTAATGTGTTTATCAGCCTATATATGTATGTATGCATGTATGTTTTTTTTGGATAGGATGACAAACGAGCACACAGTCCACCTGATGGTAAGTGGTTGCTGTGGCCCATAGACATCTACATCTATCCTCGATTACGAATCAAAATGCACATGCGTTGTCATCCGTGAGGACTTAGGTGGAATGCCTCGTTTCCAGTAAAAAGGGTCTCTGGTTCTCTACACTCACCATACGAAACACAGCAGTATTAAGATACTATTTGACGCTGGTATTCTGTGAGGTCGTGGTACTTCCCCGGTCTTATTCTTACGTCAATCGATTTTTCTTAATCTCGTGAGTATCACCAAAGATATGACAATAATTCAATATGGCGACAACCAGACGCCATATTGCTTAAAAGAAAAAATGAAAGTCAACGAACTCAAGTCAAGTGGGGGTAATATTGATTAGGTCTTTGAAACAGAAACAGAAACTTTTTAATTTAATTTAGATTATAAATAATACTTAATAAAAGTCACTCTTTTGTTTAATTACCACTGGTTCGGAAAAAGCTTCTGTCCTGAAAAGAATTAGCAAGAAAATCAGCGGGACTTAAGTATCAAGTAATCATCACCAAACAAATTAAAAGTAGCTTGGTAGCGATCACCTCATTCTTACTATTATCACCAATTAACCTTTTATCACCAAATTTAGTGTAATAGAGCTTTTTAACTTTGAGCAGGTCAAATTTTTAAAAACATATTTAAGGTTTTTCTAATTTCTAGAACGATTTAAAGTTGATTAACGACCTCTTTAATTTTCAAAACTTATACTAAAGCTGTGATAATGTTCAATCCGGGACCCGTGGTAGGTACCGCAGATGTTTAGCGCTCACTATAAATTTCAGATTTCACAGCACGCGAGCAACCCGGGTTTGGTCCCCGCCGTCTCCAATGAAATTGTAAATTGCAATTTTAAGTACTGATTTACCACGTGCTCGACGGTAAAGGAAAACATCGTGAGGAAAACCTGCATGATGAGAAATAAAAAAAATATTTCGAAGACATGTGTAGTTCACCAATATGCAATAGAGCAGCGTCGCGGACACTTCCTTGCACTAAAACCCTCTCAGAAATGAGAGGAGGTCTGTGCCCAGCAGTGGGACGTATATATGCTGTAACTTTAATGTTCAATATAATCGTATAATGGGTATTATAGTTTTTTTTACGCAGGCGGTGTTTTTATATATCAGTAGGTATTAACCTTGCCTGTTTACTAACATTTGATACAATCCCTTTAACTAGGTCTTCTCTACCGCTGCCCAGCAAACCGGGTTCCTAAGGAACCAGACGGCTCAGGGGTGCTGATGTGCGAGAACGATATTGAACCAACTCAAGTGATGTATGACTCCTGCCTCAGCGCAGAGGATAAAGATCTTTATGTCGCTGAGAATAAGTACTTCTTTTGTAATCGTGAGTATTTATAGTTGTTTCTTTTCTACTTTTTCTGTGTAGTAGCTGTGAAGTAAGTTTTAAAAAAAATAAAAATCTTAAGCTCCGTGTTTTTTTTTTTCAATAAAATATAAGTGACGAACGAACATACAGCCTATTGATTCATTACCGTTTCAGCCTATTAAATCCACTATTGACTATAGATTGGCTCATTGCTGACCATATTTGCCATAGTTGTCAGGCTTGGCGAGCGGGTTGGCAACAGCAGTTTTTATTTTTAGTCGTAATTAGGAAGACGCTGCTACCCATCTCCCGATATGCTTCCCTTTGTCGCCTCCACATCCACGGGATGATATGGGATAGTGGATATGTTTACACAGCCCCTACACGGTCTAAAGGTAGTTTATTTGATAATAAATATTAGAGATGGGCCGAATATGGAGTTCACCGAATACGAATATTCGGCCGAAAGTTCGGTAAAACTTTAACCGTACCGAATATTCGGCCGAACATTATTCGGCAGAATCACCTCGGTGTACCTAACCAATTTATGTCGTAACTTGTTATACCGTAAACCGCACGGGATTAGTGCGAGACCCTGCCCCTCGCTCCCACGCCACACCTGACATGTTATTGCATCATCTAGTACTGAGAAAATTGCCGGTACATGCTTTATGTTTTGACTATTTTAGTAAGAAAAAAAGTATTTCGTTCTTATCATTCTTAGTGAAAATTGATAATTATATGATAAAAATGAGTGTGAAAAAATCTACTATTTGGACTTACTTTAGAGAAACTGACGACCAAAGTAAAGTGAAACGTACTAATGTAATGTAAAGATTCTTTGTTTGATTCCAAAAACATTTTGTCAAGCTTTCTATATGCTATAATTGGAAATAAATCTACAGTGCCTCAAAAACATAACACTATGCAAGTAGATTTTACCCATAAATAAAATATACTTTAAACAGTAAATTTATGATAGACATGGCAATACTCAATTCGTACATTTCAATACAGTGGGCACTTTAACGAATGTTCGGTGATTTAACCGAATATTCGGCCGAATACAAATATTCGGTAAAGCTGCCGAATATGCCGATTACCGGATATAAAACGAATATTCGGCCCATCCCTAATAAATATATTTCATTTCATTTTATTTCTTTTTCTTTTATACAGGACACAAGGTGGAAGGTCCAGACCTACCTCGCAACGGTACCGCTGTGATTGGCTGCGCACCGATGGAGAGGACCTCTTTAAACTACACCAGTAACAAGTGCACGTTGGATGATACTGAAGATGTGGTTGTACACTACCGCTATTATCCGGACAGGGTATGTAATATAAATTTTAGCATTCTAAGAGGCAATGCGGACCAAGAGACTTTTGAAAACTAGGTATTTGAAGGAACTATCGCTGTCACTCTGCGAGCGCTAGTGCAATGAGGATGACTGCAGATCCGAGTGAATAGCCTAAGTAAAAAGACATAATTCGAGGTTTGGCTCTTCTTTAATATTGGACCAATTCAAAAGATATTTCATAAACTGAATAAGAAGGATTCTAGTGCTTATAAAGATAATGTACCATCAAAAAGGAAATAGAAAGGATATAGACGTGGTAGAGCCATGCTGCAGTTATATTATTAGTATAGTTGTAGCAAGAATGGGTTGGCTCGACCGGGGAAAGACCACGCTCTCACAGAATACCAGCGTGAAATAGTAGCTTAATGCTGCTGTGTTTCGTATGGTGTAGAGCAGAGTTCCCCAAACTTTTTTGTGTCGTAGACCCCTTGCCATGTTTTTCCGTGTTGGGTAGACCCCCTACTTACCTGATATTGATTTCCTGTAAATTTCTAACTGTAGTGAAGTTTAGTGTTAAAAACTTAAAGTAAAAACACATGTTAATTTATACATTTATTAATTGAATTTAAATTAAAACTACTCAAAATAAAATTTTGTATCTGTTATGTGAAATATACGTAGCATTAAATAAACATAAAATAAACTATAAATAAAATAACATAAGCAATAAGTCAATATTTTTAGTGAGAAGGATGAACCTGATGCTTTAATAATAAATTATCAACATTTGGCGTCAATTTTGTAAGGGTTAATCTTAAATCTCCTTGGCTAATCATGTCCAATTTTTTTTCCTTTTTTTCGTTAGGAGATTGGTAACAGCGCTGAACCCCCTTTCCACTAGGTATGACGATGGAAAGGAAATTAAAAATTTTCTCGCTATATTCCATAATACGGGATAAGTAACGGGTATGTTGTTTTGCAGCCAGAATTGCTGATATCCGTTTTTAAACTGAACCTTAAGTTCTTCGTTTGTACTTAGTTCAGTCAGTTCCTCTTGTATTATGACATTCGTTTCTTCTATGTCACCATATGGATTAATTATCCACGGTGGTATTACCATAGTCAAAATATCCTCAAACCTAGATTCAAAATCTGAATAGAGGGCATTTAAATATTGAACGTAAGTTGAAACATCGTCTTCCTGGCAGCTTGTCTGTGACAAATTGGGGAAATTCGCCCCGTCTAATATTTTGCTTCATTAGTTTAAATCTGTCAAGAAACGCTGATAAGATGGACTTTGTTTTAATCAAATTTAAACTGTCGCCTTGTAATTGCAAATTAACCATATTAAATTTTGTAAACAAATCTGTGAAATAGGCGATGTCTGTTTTCCTCTTCATTAAATTTTCTTTTAAAATTTTATCTTTAGTATCCAGAAATTCTAAAATAGTCTCAAAAAGTGCAAAACATCTTGTCAAACATAAGCCTTTCGACAGCCAGCGTACTTCAGTGTGAAGGAGTAATTGATGAAAGTGTTCGTCATTTTCTTCACACAACTGTGCAAATAACCACGTATTAAACGCGTTGCTTCGGATTCGGTTTACTGCATCAATGACTAAATGAAGTGATTCATGCAATCTAACACTCGAATTTTTAGCAACTAAATGTTGTCGATGGATGACGCAATGTATTGCTAACACCCTTGACACATTTTGTTTTAAATAGCTTATAAATCCACGATAACGTCCAACTATGGCAGGTGCTCCATCTGCAGCTACTGTTATTATATTTGATAAAGGAATTGCTTTTTCAAGGAAGTAATCCTTCAAAACATGAAATATTGATTCACCTTTAGTGTCGGTTATCAAAGTTTTTGCGAAGAGCAGTTCTTCGTAGATTTCTTGATTCATAATAAAACGAACATATGCCAATAATAATGCTGCATTATCAGGTATAGTTGACTCATACAGTTGTATAGAGAAATGGGTCGTTTGCAAATAATTACATAAGAAGCTTTCAATATCAGAATTCATTTCATCAATACGCTCTTTCACATTATTGTTGCTTAAGGGAATTATTTTAATGATATCAGATGCAGGTTTGTGTAAAACAGTTTTTAAAACCTCTTCAACGGCTGGCAAAATTAACTTCTCTCCGATAGTATGCGGTTTTCCGGATTTTGCTATAAGTAACGAGATATTGTAAGATGCCCGCAAACCATCATCATTTCTTTGTGACGTCGAAGCGAACATTCTGTCCAGTGTAGGTCTCTTCTGAAGTTTATCTTTGAGTGTTTGAAAGTATTTCAAATATTTCTCTGTTTTATCAGGGTGGCATCTTATCAGATGATCTTGCAGTTTAGATGGTTTCATAGCGTCATTGCTCAAAACTTTGTTGCATAAAAGGCATATAGGAAATTGTTTGTCCGGCAATGATGGAATGAAGCCAAATTTCAAATAATCGACACTGTGCTGTCTACATTTCTTTTTAGATTCGGACATGGCATCAGTCATCTGTGGGCAAAATTAAATTTTATTAAATTAAATTATTTAAATAAGACAGAAAATCCAGCAGCTGTATATTAAAAATTATTTTTTGATTTTTCCGAAAACATTCATAACGAACATCTTCTTGCAACAATTAGCTCGAATTACGGAGATTGCACTGTAATTATAATACCGATTGCTAAAACTTTCAAAAAGAAACTATTGAGGAGTAATCGTGTAATTTTGCATGATTGAATATTAAACTACTAATAACTAAAGTCATGATTGGCGTAATTTATCTATCTTTGCTAACTACGAGTACAAAACTATAATTTAATAAAAAATAATGTACTTCTTTTTCTCCAGCACTCTCAAACAAAATAACACTGACTCACTATAATTTGTGTGATATACTCTGTTTATATTTTTTAAAATATTTTCTTAACACTTTCCTTTTCAAGATTCAGGAAACGAATAAACGTGTTTGTCCCACATTTGTATTTATAGAGTGACGAATTGAACAAGTCAGTGCAAGGTAGCGAAGCTCTGAGACTGCGACTCTCAGGTTTTTACAAGTTCAAAATGTATTGCGACCACAAAGCGAATACCAACATCCTACAAATTACACAATTTTATAAACATGTATAATAAATTTTTTACTTCATAGGTACTTTTATAAATAATGTATATGTTTTGATATTATAAGATAGTATGATGTAAGTACATAGGTACTATCGGTGTATGTGTTGAGATCCACTATCGTGGACCCCCATTTTCATTTCATGGACCCGCAAATTTTTTTTCGCTGACGTAGATCCCTTGCAGGTTGTCATAGACCCCTAGGGGTCGATATAGACCACTTTGGGAATCACTGGTGTAGAGTATAGTATGGTGAGTGTAGAGAACCGGGGACCCTTTTTACTGGAAAAGAGGCATTCCATCTTAGTCCCCACGGGTGACAACGCATCTGCATTCTGATTCTTAATCGAAGTGGATGTAGGTTTTGGAATTAGGTGAAATATTTGAAGATTTATTGAGTGAAAATAATTTGTGAGGATAATAAAAAGGTTAATGTTTCTTTCTGAAATATTACTTAATTTTTATTTTATTAGAAAGTGGGTATACCAAAAATAGATATTTGGGAAGAATTAAAAAGAGACTTAATTTTTTGAGTAGATATAGTTGAACCTACACTCACCATACGAAACACAGCAGCATTTGCAACTATTTTACGTTGGTATTCTGTGAGAGCGTGGTCGTTCCCCGGTCGAGTCGACCCGTTCGTGCTACAACTGTACTATATATAACTGCAGCACGGCTCTACCACGTATAGAAAAATAAGTATGTGTAAAGAATCAATGTGCAACCACTGGGGCTTTGTTTTGTGTAGTATTTAGGAATGAAGATTTTTTATTGAATATAGATTGGGAGAATATTTAAATTGAAAGTAATTTATGATTTACCACTTGTTCGGAAAAAGTTCTCTGTCCTGGAAAGAACCAGCAAGAATTTCAGAGAGACATTAAAAAAGGAACCATTTACAATATAATTATAATGGATGATTTGTTTTACCGTCTGGAAAAAAATAGGCTGTAACAGGTAAACGGAATAGAAAGCTATGGCGCTGATAATTAACATTTTTTTTATTTTAAATTAACATTTTATGAAATTGATCTATCAGACGGTAAAAAAAAAAACACCCGGCATACAATTCTTATGAAAACGTTTAGAAACAGCATGGTAGTGATTACCTCATTTCCAGGGGTTATTATCAATTAATAGTAAATAGTAACTCTTTAGTAGTAGAATTATTATTTAAATATTATTAAGCAATTTTTTCCGCCATTAGCTGTGGTAGCTCAGATGGTTAGCGCTCACTGTAAATTTAATTTTAAGTACTGATTTACCACGTGCTCAGTGGTGAAGGAAAACATCGTGAGGAAACCAAGCATGTTTTTTTTATAGAATAAGGGTGACAAACGGGCACACAGTCGCCCTGATGGTAAGTGGATGCTGTGGCCCATAGACATCTACATTTATTCTCGATTAAGAACCAAAACGCAGATGCGTTGTTACCCCTTACGACTGAGATGAAATGCTTTGTTTTCAGTAAAAAAGGTCTGCGGATCTCTACACTCACCATACGAAACACAGCAGTGTTAAGCTGCTATTTTGCGCTGGTTTTCTGTGAGAGCGTGGTCCTTCCCCGGTCGAGCCGACCCATTCGTGCTACAACCATAATATAGCTGCAGCGTGTGTCTACTACGTATATATGTCTGAGTAATAAGAAAAAAATATTTCGATGACATGTGAAGTTCGTCAACACGCATTGGGGCAACGCGGCGGACACTTCCTTGCCCTAAAACCCTCTGAGAAATGAGGGAAGACCTGGACCCAGCAGTGGGACGTCCTTAGGCTGTAACTTTAAGCAATTTATGCTAAATAAAATTTAGCTACCTACATCTAAACTAAAGCTCACTAGAACCAAAAAAAGCAGTTAGTTAAAACGCAACTTTTCACTCATAATGTGATATGACATTGTGTGGCAAATAATTACTGGCGGGCGAAATATTATTACCCCTCATTCTTCAGGTTGGCCTAGCTTAGCCTATCCTGATTTATTTACTTTCAGACGTACAAATTCGTGACGGAACTGGACCCTGACCACGAGGTCTGCGACCATTGGAACCCGTGCCAGATCGGCTACATCTACTCCCTCCCTACTCCTGACCAGGCTCTGATTGCCAACGAGCTATGGCGTGAGTATTTTAAAATTAATATATATTAATACTGTTGCGCGCCATAATTAATACCTGGTAGGTGGAGAGTGGTAACTCACACCATCTAGTATCGAGTAGCAGAACTCAAGTCAAGATCTTTCTAGAAATTTCCATGCTAGAACTTTCTACACCTAATCACTCGGGACCGGTTTGTACTCGAACATTCTAGATGTTTCATTCGAAGAGACCATATAAAGACCGGTAAGGACCGCGACCGAGTCAGGATTGAATTGGCGATACGAGCGAATATTTTTAAGCGATACAACTGCGAACTAAAGTGATCATTGTGATTAATTATTAGTGTGTTTTAAGCTGTAATTGGTGTTTGGTAATTCAAGTGTCACTTTTGGTAATTCAATCGGCAGTTTTTATTGTCACAAATCCCATGCTCGTAACAATACCAACAGTGTAGTGTTGGTGAAATAATATCCACTACCCCATATCGTCCCGCGGGTGTCGTAAGACGCGACAGAGGGAAACAAATTAGGAGATGGGCAGCAGTATCTTCCTAATAAAATAACTTAATAATTTGTTAAAACGTATCTAAAATAATCATTCATATACAATGTAGTGACCTCTGTTGTCATAATTTGTAAACTCTTTTCTACATTATCTGTGTTGTACTCTTTGCTTTTGTTAAAATATAGTTCTCGGAGTTTTGGCGGGAACTTGGCCGTAGACGGATTGTCGCTCCTGTTTTGTCGCTTGAATAATGGTTTGAAGTGGATTATAATTCGTAAAAGTAATGCGATTTTGTGAATTAAGTGTGGAAAGTGAAAACGACGAAGTGTCCGCACGTGTGAACTATTAGAGAAAACGACGAAACAAGTGCTTTGATGTCGATATAAACCTCAAGTTATTTTGATCGCTTGGGCGCCTTATGAACTTGAGTGACTGTCGTCATCAACCGTCCACTAGGTTGAGCTGTCGTCATAATCTCCCAAGGGCTTCGCAATGTGACGCATCAGCATATTGTGAAGAAAAAGAACATAAAATGACGATTCCCAAAGAAAGGATAGGCTCAGAAGGTCTAGAAACCAGAGCCGTAAAGCCAGTTAATAAAGAAGAAGAAATATAGTTCTCTGTTGTATCACAACGCGGTCGTTTTATTAGATAATTAAAGAAAGAAATCTGTGGTTGCTAAGCGTGCCAGCTATGGTAAAATACTTCCTAAGAGAATATATTTGGGTCAGGCTGATGTTTGAATGGAATATTACTTTAATAATGGATATTAGTTTAAGAACAACCCGGGTTCGATGCTTAACAATTTTTTGATTTAAAGTATTTTTTTTTCACTTTCAGGTGATTATAGTGAGTATTGATTATATTAAACTATATAAAATTTGTAGTATTTTTAAAATATTAAAATGAAATTAAATTTACTTGTTTTGTCAGGTGGAATACCACAAACGTGCTTTGTGGTATTCCTAGGGGGAGGCCTATGTTCAGCAGTGGACTTGTGAAGGAATGTAGTGATGATGATGATGATGATGAAAGTTTTGAGTATTTTACAGCATCTATGGTTACGGGGAATTGAGGTGTTCGATGTCCCAATGTAGTTAACCACGGCTACCTTCAGTGTTAGCAGTATGTGTAGTATTCGCATAAACATAAACAATAATTTTTAAATATATCTACTAAAAAGAAAGAGGTAAAAGCAATAGGCCGTACTGCCTTCTAGAAAAACTAATTCAGAGAAAAATTGTGTCGAGCTGTGCTTCTACGTGACGACGCAAATAGTCCAATTGTTGGATATAGGCAGCATGGCAGTGGTTGATATTACTAATCACCACCTTCGTCAAACAGACTGCTGATGGTAGTATCTGATTCAGTTGCCGGTCTGAGAGAGTTTCAAAGTTTCTCATAGGATGAGATCTTTTCTTCTCGTCAGCACATGAAACCCATTCCTGGTCATGACCTTCGCCTTTTGGAATGCTGTTTTTACGGCGGGAAATATGTTTTATGCTGCTAGGAATTTCAATTCGGTAATTCGGCAAGAGCTCTATTTTATCAGGTTTTTATTAAATCGCTTTCGTGTATGTCTGTTCGGGTCACATTCGCTAATTGGTTTTAAACTATCTTTCCGACAAGCTAGAGATTTGAAATTTAGAACATAGCTCAGAATCGAATGATAATATAAGAATATAAAATCGGATGATAATGTAAAGGATCAAGTTATTTCTAATATTTCTTTAACTATTTTGATCCAGTGAGTGTTACCCAAAGTAAATTGCCTGATTTCCTCAAGGAAGCATGTTAGGGCCTGTATTATTTTTACTAACATTATAACAACATAATATGACGATAGTTATTTATCTGAACATATTCTTTAAATTTTTAAGTACCTACACTCAATAAATAAATTGAATAATTAATATGCACTTTTTATTTGATTTTGTAGCCGAAAGTAAGTTTATTTTCATTCCTAATAAATATTTTTTCGATACCGAGAATATCTTTTATTAATATTTATTTTTTAATTTTAGGAAACGACGGTGAGGTTCTTATTATAATTTCATCTTCCTTTTTTAAAACTCCAACTCTTTTTTGGGGCTTGGAACAATTTGGTAAAAAAAATTATAGCACTGATAAATGACAGATTAAGTCTGTTTAATCTATAGTCCAACTCATTACTAACGTGAAAGATCCGTGGCAGTTGTATCATGGTTGCACCACAAATGCTTCGGCTCGCTCTCATGTAATACCAGCGTAAAATAGTAGTTTAATGCTGCAGAGTTTCGTATGGTAAGTGTAGAGGACTGGAGACGATTTTCACTGGTAACGAGGTATTCTATCTTAGTCCTCAGGGGAGATAACGCATCTGAGTTTTGATTTTTTTATCTAATTATCGCCCATTATTCTGTAATAAGTCAGTAATAGGCCAGTCCAAAGGCGCAACAAGGTCGACACTAGTAACAAGTTAGCACTGACTCGTGGCGACTATGATTATTATTTCCAGTCACTACACTGACAAATCTGATGCTACTGTTGATTGCTTGAACAGATATTTTTGCTCTTCTTCATAACCGATAGAATCGAGATTCATCACTTCTAGATTTTACCGTGTAGTGGCGATCTTTTTTTAAAGAATAAGGGTGACAAACGAGCACACAGTCCACCCGATAGTAAGTGGTTGCTGTGGCCCATAGACATCTACATCTATCCTCGATTTCGAATTAAATGCAGATGCGTTGTCACGGTTGTCAGTTACAGTAAAAAAGATCTCTGTTTTTCTTTACTCAATATCAAACCTAGCTGCATTAAGCTGCTATTTTAAGCTGGTATTTGTAAAAGCGTAGTCACATTCGTTCGAGCCGACCCATTTGTGCTACAACCATTATATAGCTGCAGCGTGGATCCCATATCGTTCAATGGGTGACGACTGATGGAAACTGAAAGGAGATGGTCAACGGCATCTTCCTGAAAACAACTTGAAGTTGTTAAAAAACTGCGGTTGCCAACTTGCCTGCCAAGTTTGGCAACTATAAGTCAGAACCATTTAATTGTTAGATTGGAAAATATTTATTAAGCAAAAGCATCGTTAGATGTTGTTAGGCTTCAGTTCTCCAAAAAGTAAATACCAAATTACATTATTACACCATAGATAAGCCGGTCTTATTTTTTGATAGAATAAGGGTGAGAAACGAGCAGTGCATGCTGATGCCCATAGACATCTATATTTATTCTCGATTAAAAATGGAAACACAGATGCGTTGTCATTCCTAAGGACTAAGACGGAATGCCTTGTTTCCAGTGAAAAAGGGTCTCCGGATCTCTACACTCACCATACTAAACACAACAGCATTAAGCATAATTTTTACGCTGGTTTTCTGTGAGAGCGTGGTCCTTACCCGGTAGAGCCGACCCATTCGTGCTACAACCATAATATGGCTGCAGCGTGGCTCTACAACGTATAGAAAATGGTCTCAAGAATATAAGGCCTATCTATGGTACAAATAATAATAATAGTATCTAGCTTCATATGTTTGATACGATTTAATACATATTGTATAAAAAGTTAGAAAAGTGTAATTATTTTGATGTTACTTTTAATTTTCAGAATACGAACGTAAGTGACCTTGTTGGCACTGAGCATAATTTTTTATTAGTTTGTAGCCGTTTCTGTTTGTAAAAATACTTTAGACAAGGCAAAAGGCTATTTTTATTATCATCGTCATCATCATAGTTCATCACAAAGCTACGGATGAACATATTCTTACCAGATAGTCACTCCATCTAGTGGGGGATCGTCCTAAACTTTGCTTACCATTACGAAACTGCCACTCTAGAACCTGTCTTCTTTGTTGGCCCTTCGAGCTATACGGCTGGCACATTGTCACTTCAGCTTGCTACGGATCGATCGGGATATATCGGTTACTCTTGTTGTACTGCTTTCAATATTCTATTTCTTTTTTATTAATGGATTGCCAAAACCATTTCGCCACTAAATAAGTTCTGGTCCATGTTTTAGTTAAATGAGATGATTCAAAATGTATGGAGCCTGGGCCAGGTCTTTGTACACTATACTCAAAAATAGCAAAACACATTTTAAACGGTTCTCAACCATCCCATTATTTTATAATGGCTTTGTTTGCTGGTAAAGCACAGGAAATTACACTTGAAATTGTAACACACAACAAAACCCGTCATGTCGGTAAGCTGTCATTTTTTTTAATTGTTGACGTTTGACATGTTTATTCCAAGTATTTTTGACACTGTTGTGACAACTATAGTTCATAAAAGATAGCTTGATTTCTGCAACAGCTGTCAGTAAAATCAGCCTATGAAGTCCTGAATTTCTTAGTAGTACAGACAGTAGGTACCTGTCAATGTCATACTTTATGGGCATGCACTAATTAGGTCGGCATGCCCATAAAGTATGACATTGGCAGGTACTGTCTGTACTACTAAGAAATTCAGGACTTCATAGGCGTGATTTTACTGACAGCTGTCGCAGAGATCAAGCTATCTTTTATGGA